TCCATATGTGGGTAGCAACATGCTCAAGGATCCAGTTTCAGTTGCTGATCCAGAAGCATTCGAAATCATGAAAAATGTTTGTTTGACATTTATCAATATGTAATCAAGGACTTGTGTGACCTGTTAAATATCACTCGAAACTGTTAATAAGGGTTGAATTTTCAGGAGAAGAAACGTCAGAAGCGTGGCTTGGAACTGATCGCAAGTGAGAATTTCACAACGAAGGCTGTTTATGATGCACTCGGATCTGCAATGTCAAATAAATATTCAGAAGGTTATCCCGGTGCTAGGTATAGGCTTTCAATTGTACATTTCAGCTGTTTCAACGTTTTTCTCAATACGCTGTAACTGCACCATGCTGATTGTGACAAGTTTCATGTCGTTTTTGTTTATAGTACTGATGAAATCATATAATGAGTAACTCATCATTTACATCTAGGCTGATTTTCCGAAGTGGTTACTCCACAATAAAGTCAGTACAATCACTTGCAGATATTATGGTGGTAATGAATTCATCGATCAGATGGAACGTTTATGCCAACAGCGCGCACTTAAGGTTATCTTCTTGTTGTATCTCATTCGGGAAACATGCTTAAACTTCCGAGTGATGTGGCGCATGAAGTTTTTCAAATCACTGAAAATCCTTCCAACAAATTTTATAAATCTGCATACAAAGTAGTATGCTACGCATCTGGAAAGGAATCGTTAATTCGAGTGTTCAAGATGTTTTGAAAAAATTCCGTCGTTTCATTCCAACTTTCTTCATTCGAACAGTTCAGGTCTATGGACTAGATCCGGAAAAATGGGGTTGTAACGTGCAGAGCTTATCGGGTGCACCAGCCAACTTTGCCGTCTATACAGCAATTGTTGAACCCAACGGGCGTATTATGGGATTGGATTTACCCGATGGTGGACATCTGAGTCATGGGTGAGTTTTGACGGTTGAATCATGCCGAGTCGAAATGTTTTTGGAAAATTATATTCGTTTTTCAATGAGAACATTGGGAAACTATCATTTCCCAATGTTGAAATGATAGTGTTGTATTGTCGATTGATTTAAGATTCTACACGCCACAACGCAAAGTATCAGCAACGTCAGTGTTCTTCCAATCAATGCCCTACAAAGTGGATCCAGTCAGTGGTCTTATCGATTACGATGCAATGGAGAAGAGCGCCATGCTCTTCAGACCTAAAATCCTCATTGCCGGTTAGCATCGATTTCTCTAGTAAACACAGCTTCTCATTAAATCAGTTATTGATGTCGTGAATAATTCAAGGGAAGGTACAATGAAATCTTTTGTTTTAATTGAAGTGATCACAAGAAGAAGAGTTTTCAGTAATTGATTATTTATATGTGCAACGTGATATATCACTAGTCGTCAAAAATTGATCCAGTTGTATTCACAACGAAGTGGCAATACTAAAATCATAGTAATAAATGATGATAGCAGCAGAAATGAATAGCCATTTCGTGATGGATTTTAAGGTGTGAGTTGTTATGCTCGTCACTTGGACTATGCTCGATTCCGTCAGATCGCTGATAAATGTGGTGCATATCTGATGGCCGATATGGCACACATATCTGGTCTTGTAGCCGCTGGAGTGATACCGTCACCGTTTGAGTACGCAGATATTGTCACGACAACAACACATAAGTCGTTACGTGGACCTAGAGGAGCGATCATCTTCTATAGAAAAGGTTTCATTCGAATCGTTACTCAGTTTTTATTGGTCTCTGTGAGTATCATCCATTGGAAATGATACATAATAAACGAAGAATGTTCGGTATTCAAATAGTATTTTTGAAGTGCAATAAACACATTGATATTCGGACATTGAGTGATGATTGTATCATCTTTTTAAGGCGTACGATCGGTGACAGCAAAAGGTGATAAAGTGATGTACGATCTGCAATCGAAGATCGATGCTGCCGTCTTTCCGGGACTTCAGGGTGGCCCACACAATCACACTATTGCTGGTAAACGTTTGCTACATTTCACTTTTTTTTCATTTGCATTTTCACTTATCGCTTGAAATCTGTCCACTTGAACCATTCTTTCTTATACGAATATTCTAACGGTCTTATTTACATTCTCTATTCTTCTATTTTATATGTGTTTAGCAATCAAAGATGATCGCATATTCAAATTTAGTCCAATATTCGAAACGTTTCTTGTGAACAATTTGTATTGACATATGAATAATTATTTGATTGATAAAAATCGCCAGTTATTCGCAATATTCCGAGCTGTTTATATCATATGTTTGTTTCAGGAATAGCGATAGCACTGAACCAGTGTCTCACTAAAGAATACGTTGAGTACGCCAAACAAATCCTCAAAAATTCGCAAGCATTAGCGCATCGAATGGTTGAGCATGGGTATAAACTAGCAACAGGTGAATTTTAGTTCAGTTGCCGAATCTGATTCATTCTTGTCCATACGTCACTCATGCATTCGTTTCGATACCAGTATCAATCTAGTCATTAGATAACATTTGTTAACGAATATGAGGTATGGAACGGAGCTTAGAAATTACGTAAGCATTTCTTAGGAGGGCAGGAATTGCTATTACAAAGACTTTTACAGAGAACAACGGTTCGTGGTAAGATTTTTGATTGAAGAATTATTTCGACGACGAATTTTCGATCTCTTGTTTCAGGTGGAACGGATAATCATTTATGTTTGGTGGATTTAAGACCGAAAGGTTTGGATGGCGCTAAAGCGGAGCACGTCCTTGATTTAGCTCATATCACCTGCAATAAGAACACTTGTCCTGGTATGTTTTATGGTGATTTATAGGGAACTGTTTCATTTTGCGCGGTGAACGATGATAGCAACGTTCAGATTTGTTCAGCATCGGAGATAGGTACTTTTTCCCCATCATTATTAACTCAGTGTTATTTGCCTGTAAGTGAATCTTTTGAATCATATTGAACTGTGAGTTATTCAGGCGATCAAAGTGCCCTGAGACCGGGTGGTATTCGTCTTGGTGCGCCAGCGTTGACATCTCGTGGCTTTAAAGAAGAAGACTTCGTGAAAGTTGCCGATTTCATCCACGAAGGTTCGTTTCTGCATTCAGCTTCCAAAAATAAC